TGGTGAGACTTTCAGATCGAGCTCCGTAACTGCGTCACCGGTAGACACCCCGCAGTTGTCAAAGAAATAGCGCACAACACGACGTCGGGTTCGTTCGTCCATCAGAAACTTCGGTCCCCGCTTAAATACAGGCCCACATTGATCCTGAGCCTTCACTACTCGACTCACCGTAGCTTGGTTGACCTGCTGAGCTCGAGCAATCTCCTTTTGGGTGTAGCGTCGACGACCATCTGTGCCTCTCTCCGCATGCATCGCGCGGATACGCGCCCTATCTGCTGAAGTCAGGTTTTTGTTCTTCGACATAACCCAAAGTAATGACAGGACGTGGGTGGTCATGGTGGTTGACGGCGGGGCAATTTGGGTGCTTCAATGGTGCCCTATGACCAAAATCCTAGGGTGCTTCAAGAATATGCTAAGAATATGTGGAGGTCTCCAAGTGCGTCGAGTGCGTAAATCAGAATAGCAGTAGAATGGGAGTCTGAAACCTTGCCAGGTTAGTGATAGTGTTACTAAAGCTATCATATTCAAAAATCAGGGTGAAACTCGACTTCATTGATGAATTTTGAGCTGCACACCATGTATGCTAAGAATATGTGGAGAGGTGTATACCTTCCACTACCCCGAATTTTAAGCAGTTGAGAACTGTGAAATTATCATCTGCTCTGGTCAGCTCCGATGACATCCACAACCTCATCTTCTCAGTCAAGCTCGACTGACTCGTTCGGAAGGTGAGGTTACCTCCAAGTAGGACCAAGTGGTTACCCGGGGTATTCGCGCCGTCCCCCCTGACGCTCCAGTGGGACGTTTCGGTCATCTGATTCCGGTCAGAGCAGCCGTTGGTTTATGAGGAGCGTTCTTCCCATGCCGTTTTATCATTCACGACGGTCTTATGGATTGCGTAGGTGGAGCTATGGTGATTCGAAGCTTTACTCGGATCGAATCTGAGTGAGCAAGGTGTGGACGCGTTAATTGAAACAATGCACTCGAGTCGTGCTGAATTCAACGTCAGCGTTCGGTGGGAGGTCATTCCGGCGAGTTCCCTCCGATCACGTTGTGGTGGACATGCATTTTGTATTCTTCGTGTTGCATCAAATCGTGCATTGAGACAGTCTCTCGATCGAGTGGAGCCTGGACCTTCTCTGCTGCTCCTACTAGCAACTCTACAAGAACCTCTGTGAACGACAACGGGGTGAGCACAGCCCAGGCTGGAGGCCGACATGATGCATAGTGAATGGTCAAAATAATGCAGTCATCAATAGATGGGACGGTAGCGTTTAGTCGACACTTGAGGCCACCCCATCGTTCGAGAGAATCCGCCGGTCGACCGCCTGACGAGTCTATCTCGAGCTGAACTCATCGAGCATCCCACTTACATAGTCGAGTCGAGATGAGTTGGCGAAGGCATTCCCTCCGAGGGACGACTGCCATGGGACATACCAGCGAACCCCAACGCGGGCCGTATTTGCTGCCTGAAGGGGATTGTATAGGAAGGGAAGCACAAACCGGATGACTGCCCACTCCCTAGCATTCTCCATCAGCATTTCCAGCTGCTGCCTCATATCTTCCTGTGCTCTGTTACTCATCGCTAATAGCCTGGTCAAGGTCGAGACTGTTGGTGTATCTGCCACCACGGAGAGGGTCGAAGGGCTAAATATCGTAAGTCATCCTACCCTCGAGATCATCACCGACGGTTATATCAGCATCGTTGATGATTTGCTTGATTTTATCATCACTCGCCGTTCGCCCAATAAGCTGTCAAGGAAGGCAGACGTATCGGGGGGGGCACTCAACTCTCGTACAGCCAACTTGTCTTCTAGCATCTTGTTCCGGGCTTTCATGTCTAGTGTCTGTCTCTCCAACAGCAACAGTCTTGATGAGAGGACCTCCCGAATCAAACATCATGACTGTAGCGTCCTCAGCATCCTCACTGAATTCTCTGCCTGGACCTTCAACGACTCCACTGTATCAGCATCTGTATTCTTCATCGTCCCTTCTAATTCCAACTCTGCAGAGGGGATTTAAACACCATATTCCCATCGATAGAGAATTCATCGAGCCCCTTCTTCCCACCTGCTATTTGCCTCTTCAAAAAGACCACCTCAGTAGCAAGGCTCTTAGCCTGCGCTGCATCATGCCGTAGTCTGTCACATTCAGCTTCAAGAGCCTCGAGCTGAATCTTCATCACCCCTCCAGTTCTAGCCTCCCTCTGCGGTTCCTGAAGAATCGAGTATATTAGCCCAGCACAGGATGAGTACTCCACCTTTTGTGTATTTGTTGCATTGTTAGACTGCTGCATCAAAGCCGTGACCATTCCCATCATTGCCTCCATCCCACCACCACCACCTCCTCCAATCGTTGTAACAGCAGAGGCAGCCTTGGCACAATGGAGGGCCTAGTTGGGGGGCACCACATCACGAGTGGCAGCTTCCTCCTCCAAGCCCTACCGCCCTGGTTTCCTCGAGATCCTTCTTCACAGCAGCTAGTTCGGAAGCCGGTACCATAGGTTCATCACTCTCTGTCTTCATCGCCGCATCTGGAGGTAGGCCAGGTTCCACATACAAGGTGGATGATTTCGCACCAACAGCAAAACCGTCCGCACCGTCGTCCTCAGGTGCGGGAACCTTAGAGGTCGCACTAGCTTTAAGAGCCTCTATTTCTTTCTGCTTCTCGTCGATCAAACTCTGTGCCAACTTCACCTACCACGAACGTTCATCCACTAGGGATTTCGGGAATACTACCGCTGAAGTATTATCCTTGCAGACCTTCTCTAGGACTCCAACAGTCTTAATGACAGCTTCAACCTCCTTGATGATAGAATCTACTTCTCCTACGAAGAATGATTCATCCACACTTAAGACACATACATGTTGCTGACTACCTGATGACACATCCAGGACGCCACCGTCGCTACCCGCTGCTGTGTTAGTCGATCCATCTAGCAGCTTCGAGAACTCGGCCTCTAACCCCTCGAGGATACCCTTGAGGGTATTACGATCACCTGGAGTGAGAATAAGACGGCTGTCTACATGCCGGGAAGCATGCCCCAAGCTACCCTCCGACAAGTTGAGCCCGTCTGGTCCCTTCATATTATCGCTGTTCGAAGCTATCTGTATCGTGAGGGGTTCTGCCACACACTTAGCAAGAGAGCCGTCATCGTCGCGTCCATCTTCTGAATAGCAACCATCCCTATAGAGGGCCTCGGTAACGCAGGTTCTACCCTACCGGACATCATTTTTCTCAGTTGAGCTTCCAAGTCCTTCACTCTACTCTGTAACCCCTCAACCTGAAGAGCGATTATATAAAGCCTTCACCGAGAATCCACTATCTACCATTTCCGCGCCGCTGGCTAGCAAGGAGGTCTCTGTCTTGTACTCTGACAGGTCTTCATCATCCGACCTGATCTCAGTGAGCAGCCGCCGCTCTCCGCTGTAGGTATTCCGTACTGTTTCACGATGAATGTCTCTACGAGTTCCTCGCCTATCCTGATCGTGCCTCTCTCACCAAATGGGAAGGACCCAGGGGCTGAGGCCTCCACACCTTCCTTTGTAGGCTTGGAGATATGGACGTGCCTTATAACGATTCGGAACACTCATAGTGACAGATCTGTGCGGCCCTTCACTCACCCACAGACACCTCCCAATGCTAGCTGTCTCGATATCTGCGAGGGCTGCCCCATGAAGGCAAAGGCATCGCCGATGAAACCTGCTCGGGTATATCAACATCACAGGAGACATGGTCAATTTCACAACTCAGAATGACCATCTAACCCTGCCGAGAACTACCTGCGAAAGCTGGTCCAGTATGGATGCCTATCTTCATCAACTTGGAGATAGGTGTGTCACCCAGGACGATCTACGAGGCAACTTCGAGGCTTGAAGTATGGAGCGTTATGTGTTACTGACCTCGGAAGCTTTGTCTAGGCAGGCTTTGCCGAACCCACAGAGTAACTCTTCTGAGTTGGCGGTCTCGTCATTAAAACCAGCGACAGCAATAGTGTTGATACCGATGAATTGTAAGTGTATGGCATCATAGTCTGACGACGAAGGTATCGTCATCAGCTGCACTATCGGAACAGTTCGTGTTCAGTCAAGGTCACCGAGAGTTCACTATGGCTGATTCCGAGCTGATATCCCCACAGAGAGAGTTGCCGTCGATAACTTACTGCTCTCACGAAGCTCTTCGAATGACCTCTGCAGCTTAGTCATCAACGTGAGCAGGTGTGGCAGGGAAGTGGCTTCTGCTGCTTCACTCAACCTAATACGTTAGCGTACCGAATAGGTCCCGATGTCTGGTGCATTGGCTCACTTATCGAAAACCATATAGAGGAAGGATGCCTTCTCGTATCTCTCATTGATATCCGACTCTCCTTGCTTCATCTTCTCCATTATGTGAGATGGTATCGTCACTGAACAAGTGGCCACTACCGTCAATCAAGGCAACATTGACCAGGACTCCTCAAGTTCACTCCAGAGTATTAAAGCTCGCAGAGTCGGGGGCTCACGAGGAAGCTAACCGACTATCCTACTTGATGCTGCCTGACCTCCCTCGCCTCCTTTTCCAGGTCCACCTGCACCCTCCCCAAAATGAGCATTTATCATATGCCTAAGTATAATGAGACATCGGACCCGGGCGAGGAGCTCCTCCTTCTCGAAAGGCTTTGTCTGGTAATCATTGCCTGCCACGAGAGAGCATCCCGCTTGGGACAGGGATTTCAGAGAGCTCACAAAAATGTTCAACGCCTTCGACCTTGTCGGCAACAGCAGCCTTTGCCGATATCATGACAACAGGGAGATCAGGAGGGTACCTGGATGCTGCTGATGCCAGCACTCCCATGGTAGGATAACCTTACTCAGCCCGAAGTGTATCAAGGACTTCATAACCACTCATGCCTGGCATCATAACATCCAGTAGGATGAGATCCGGCATAGGATTATTCTGCATATGCTCAAGGGCTTCAAAGCCGTCCATAGCTTGATGGACTACAAATCCCTCACTCTCGAAGAGCGAGGATATGACCATCTGGTTCACGGGGTCATCATCGACTGATAACAACTCCCTCGATTCTTCATATCGACCGATGGCATCCTCCAAGAGGTTCATAAGAACGACTAACGACTAAGAAGACTGTGTGTCGAGGGAGGCAGATACAACCACGCACTTGCGAGTACCCAAACCGCCGTTCCTGTCTGAACTGTTAGCAATCAATTGACTGCTCAATACAGGCACACAAGAGGTAAAACCTCAATTGGATGTCGAAAACCTTATGACGAACTCAAGGTTCGGAAGTCGAGACTGGAAATTCTATTATCACGAACTTGAACTTCTTATCGACCTCAAACAAATGTTCTACAGCGAGTTTGAGTTACAAATGCGAATATGATATACCCGTTTAGGATTCGTAACCTCCAACTTCGCGGAACCCGTCCCAACAAAAGTAATAGCAATTACTGTGCCACATGAGTAAAACCCGAGCGGACTGAGGGGATGTCCCCCTAGCACGCAGTTACGATGCGTGCGTCATCGCACGTAGACGACGACGAATGATTAGGATACATGCGCGTGCGTACAGACCACATTGGCTTGAACAACTAGCTTGTCAGAAGGGCGTTGTTCTTAGAAATTTTCTCATGAAAAAGGCAAGCGAAATTATCGTTGCGTTGTTCCGTATTCGCTTAGCGATGCACAATAGTATCGCTAAACATCGGAAACACCCACGATTCGTGTTCGTAAGGGGGAGTGGACTTTACTGAGTTTGATCAGCGCTTAATAGCCCGTGTTAAACCAGAGTATTGGTTCCACACCGAAGGTTAAAGCGCAAAAGTAATCTATAACCGGCATCATACACTTTTCGACTGCCTTACAAGCGAATGTGGCAGCTGAAGAACTGATGCTTGACAGTGGATGTTTGTGTAACGATTGAGATGAGCGTGGTATCAGACCCTGTCGACGAAGCGGTGGGGCTTGCTATGTGCCATGCGAACTGCGTTCTAAGACTTGATGGGTTTAGACTGTCTGTCGTGCTCGCGTTCGAATCCTAGCCGGAATCCGGCTCGGATATTTTCTTGCACTTTTCGTGCATATATTGTTGGAGACGCGCCGCATCACTTAGTACACCCGGCGACTCAGCTTTGGACAAGTTCTTCCACCGTGTTCAAATTAGTCATGGTTGCAGAGAAATCATTCCTTCATCTGCACGTACGTTCGAAGTCACCTGAATTGCAGTATAGAGTTCCGCTCTCTTCTTTCGTTCTGTAACTGGGAACATCGATATCAGTACACCGGCGTATCCTGTCTCCTTTCCCGTCTCAGTGTGAAGGCTTCATTGTACCAATAGCAGTCACTGTTTAGTCCACCGTCACTCTCAGCACGTCCTCTCTACCATTGATTCAGTTCGTCATTAATGCCTAGGACGCTTGAAAGTGGACGTATACATGAACGTTGGTAGTACCAACTTGGTACAGTCTCTTAGTGTGGTAGTGTGTACGCTGGTGAATCTACGACTACCTACGTTACTGAGGATGGACCATGGCCTACGCGGCTGGCGAATGTCGTCATCAAGAATGTGAAGGCTCACAAGAGGGTCATAGATTTCCTTCCTAGAGGAGGATCGATCACAATCCTCACTCCTGATTAGACTGACTATAATATCACCATGTATGTCATTGAGAGAGGTATCCAAGTTATGATAACGGTTGGAGCTCATGAGATAATCCAGGTAATGATGGCGAATTCTGTGGTTAGAATGGATACGGCTACCGATCTATCGAGATCTTTTGTCTACCACCACCACGAGCACTCTGATGTCTAGTGTTACTCTAGAGACGGCTGGAAGGAGTCTCGACAAGTGCAACTGCTGCACGGCTAGTTGCTGAGTGGTTAGCCGAGAGAGTCCCTGATGGCATCAGATTTGCCAGTGGGGTGGTCGGATCGTATGAGCCTCCGTTTTCATCCTCAAGTTCCTATAGTTCCGGGCGGGTTGAAGAGAGCGATTGATTCTGCGATAGAACATTTTATTTCATTTCTACAACATGATCAATCACTTTAGTTCTTCATTGAATAGGGAGGATGAGTCTGCAGAAATTCTCCATTGAAGCAGCTTTGTATGTAGTCAGATAGCATGGGATTTCTCTGTCTGGGAGCCCTCTGTCTTGCTCATCCGTAGCAAGTTGCAATGCTAGGGATGCTGGAATTTTCGCCATCATCATTATCATCGTCATGGGGAAACGTCATGTGACGATATCCGAAATTCGCAGTTCGAAATTCTAAAGTTTTTATCTCTTTATCTGTGCGTTCGCACCCTTAACAGTTTTACGCGTAATTTCAAGTAAATGTCCCTGGGATTGAGAATTTTGATATGATCAGAAAGAGTAGTGGATGTCACCTCTCCGCAGTTCTCAGTTTTCCATTCGAAGAGATATGCCTCGCAATAACCTGGGTAGAAGTCGTCGTTCCCCAAGCCGCCGTGGTGGTGGTAATAAGGTTGTGCAACAGCACTATCATCAGGAAGTTACAGTGGCTACTGGGCAACAGAAGGCCACTGGCCCAGCTCCCAAAGGTAAGGGTGGTGTGGTTTATGAACGCTCTGTACTAGGCTGTGGAGCATAGGAATGAGCAGTACTCATGTTGGGAATTCTCGACTTGATTGCCCTTTTGCATTATATTGCTCCTGCCTCATTAGAGCTCTTTTCAGCCAACAGATATGCTCCTCCAGCCCCCACTGGAGGTAGGCTCACCTCTAATATTTAATAGGATAGGGGTTTGCAGGCACTGCGGGCATTCATGAAGTGTACGATCCAGAGCACATCATTGTTGGTGCCAGTCACAGCAAAACAGCTCAGATCCTTGTTGATAAGGTAGTATATGCTTACGTGATTGTATACTATGCACGTCTCGAATAGCTTGGCAAGCTCCTTACATGGACATACGCTCAGACTAGGCTCGTGTGATTCAGCTCGCTGAACGTTTCAAACAGTTAGTCGAATGATACCGTCCCTCTTTGTTGTGGGGACGAAGTAGCGGCATATCGAATCGTTGTATAAGAAGTCACCATTCCGATGAGGAATCCACCTTGGGATAGTAGTCCATTGATGAGTTGTTCCTCTTCTTCTCCTGAATACTGGCGTGTTCAGGATCCTGTGCTTCATGAGATCGTTGTGGATGCCATACGTTATGCTGCAGAACAGTTTCGTCGGCCCCATGGTGCCGATAAAAATGCTAGACTGGTTTTCCCCGAAGGTCAAGAGGATGAAGGTAGATCATTCTAGGTGCGGGAAAAATTCCGTCTCCAACTTGTATGGGTTTTTTGCATAATCGTCTAGTGGACGTTGATTAGGTCTAGCCGGGTATTTGGAATTCTCAAAACTGGTTAATCACTACCTCCACAATCTGGCTGTCAAGAGTGACCCCTTCCACAAAGCTCTCCTCGCTACTTCCACTGTCGTTGTCGGCAACATGGGCTTCTGTGGCAACATACCATGCTTTAGGTGAGACCTGGATGCCGTTTCATGCAATCGTTCGGGTACTTATTTGTGTATACTCATTGCTTATCCGATGTAGCCTTTCACTATCTGAGCTCTCTCTACTCCACTACTGGAGAGGGGACTGATTTCCGTGTCATCCCCTCAAAAGGCACGTGTATTGGTGTCAGGTATAAACTGAAGTTGATTATGCCGGAGCACTACGCGAGTCCCTACACTCTCCGTACTAAGAATGTTCCTTACAGTTGGTGTAATGTATTCTTCTTGGAGCCCCAGGAGGATACATATGCAGGGTTAAACTGATCTGATGAGCAAAGTAATTATGAAGCGACCTGTCTATGTGATACGCCTAAAGAGCCGCCATGGTAATTTATCAACTCATCTTGTGGCAGCATATTGTGGTTGCGTTCGGATGGTGCGGATATGAATCTTGACTCATGGACACTTCACACCGGGCTCCATAACTTTATCTATTTGGCTTGCACACAGCTTTTGGTGAGGTCGGACGTCTATTATGAACACCTCCCAGCTGGATCAGCAAATCGCCCGGCTCCGGAAGTGTGAGACTCTACCGGCAGACCAAGTCAAAGGTGATAGCCTAACATGGTGTCCCCTTTTCTTTGTCATTACGATTCTGGATGCGCTCACTCACCGGTATCATGGCTGCCTTTGGGACTTATCATCTCGGTGCGTAGTATATCCATATTGTGTCAGAACTGTGTTCCCTATGTCGTGATATACTGATCGAGGAAGATAATATTCAACGGGTAGACTCCCCTGTAGTTATTTGTGGAGATATCCATGGACAGTTCTATGATCTTATGGAGCTCTTCAAGGTAGGTATTGGTGGTATGCTCTACAGGTTGTTGAGCCCTTCCCGGTTACTGATTAGTGGTAATATTGTGTATTTAGGTTGGAGGGGAATGCCCCGAAACGAACTACCTGTTTTTGGGCGACTACGTTGATAGAGGCTTCTACTCTGTCGAGACGCTTCTACTCCTCATTGCTTTGAAAGTAAGACATGAAGTCAGCGCTTCTATTGCTATTGCGATTATTCCTCGTTGGAAGCGTCATTGAGCATAGAAATGGTATTCCGTCATCAGCGGTATGTAATCCTTGTGAATAATTGTTCACAGTAGACTACTGTTGGTAGTAGGTCACTTATTGTAGGTGTTCCCTTAGGTGAGGTATCCCGATCGGATAACCCTCATCAGAGGTAATCACGAGTCGCGGCAAATCACCCAGGTCTACGGCTTCTATGATGAATGTGTTCGCAAGTTCGGCAATGTAGGTCACTCTATGAGTTAATCAGCTTCGGTAGATGGTAGAGGTCAGGTTAACGTATGGAGGTGCTGCACGGACCTATTCGATTACATGGCCCTCAGTGCTATCATCGATAATAAAGTTTTCGCGGTTCACGGTGGTCTCAGTCCGGCGCTGTAAGATTTCCCGACTCATGTGTCGCGCGAGTGGAACTCAATGGAGCTGTCGACTGGCAGGCACACTATGGACGAAATTCGTTTGATTGACAGGAAGCAGGAGGTTCCCCATGAAGGGGCGATGTCGGACATTATGTGGTGAGTCAATCATCATCGTAGTTTGCATGGATGCATCGTGGTGTATGATGACGATGTGAATCTCATCACTGGGAATTGCTCCTCAAACTTCCACAGTAGGTGTAGTTCAAAGCCTAGACGGCACCACGTTTAGTTTTTTAGTAATCAGAATCAGCTGCGAGCAGAATTTCATACTTGGAGGCCTACTGTGGTATTGCGATTCGTCTCAGGTCGGATCCAGATGAGATCAACGGCTGGGCTGAGTCCCCCAGAGGGGCCGGTTGGTTGTTCGGTGGGGACATCGTCAAGTAAACTCGGACGTGGATATTTGTGCAGTCGATGCCGACCTTTCAGGCAGTGGAATCATACTAACTCTGTGACTCTTATTGCGAGGGCACATCAATTGGTCATGGAGGGTTACAAGATGATGTTTGATGATCAACTCTGCACAGTTTGGAGTGCGCCAAACTACTGCTACAGGTGAGTCATCGGTGGTCCTCCGCGATCTGTATTCCTCCTCTATCCTGAGGATCGTGGCTCTTGCTGGCTGCCCATGGACTCTCGGTCATGGTTTAGCAGAGCGCTTGGAATAGTCCGAGGTTCTCTAATGTAGCATATGTGTGTGGTAACTAAGTGTTGGATGAATTGCGTTGATTATTTGACGAATTTTCTGTTAACGACCGAGTCGTGACCAACTTCAAATCTCAGGTGTGGTAATATTGCAAGTGTGTTATGCCTAGACGAGCAACTGAAGATGGACTTCCGTACTTTCCATGCGGCCCCAGCTGAGGAGAGAGCCCTTCCAGCAAGGAAACCAATGCCTGACTACTTCCTGTAATTGTTTCTACGTTATCCGTGTTCCGTCTTGTGTTACGTAGTGATGAATATATATCATTATTTCACAGGCCAATAGCAATCAACGATTCATCCCAACTCTTTTGAGGGCAGATCATCGTTGAGAATCATTGTGGTCGAATGGCCGAGCACTGCGTCGTTGGGGCCACGGTCTATAGTAGGCCGTGTTCACGTGATACTACTCGAGTGACGAAGTCGAAGTTTAACAGTTAATTGATCCGGGAGGTACCGCACTTCAACCCTGGCTTGAATGATCATTTTATGTAACTACTCATCTACCTATCGGTGATACGGTCTTACCAAACTACATCGGGGCAGGAGCCTCTTATGAGGACTTACTACACTTCTTGCAACTGTCGGGAAGTTAAGGATAAATGACTCAGTTTTTTGCGTTCAGTTCAAGGAGGTTTCACGCGCAGGGATGAAGCACTGTCTATCTTACCAATGGCGCATATTACACACTAGAGCAGCGTACACAACACAAGTAGAAGGGTACCAAGGACATCACTCGATCATTATGCGGTGGGAGCATGACTAATGCTTCGTCTCAGGCATCTTAGGATCGACCCAATCGGGTTGGTAGCATGGCTGATAAGGCTTATCCTTAGTGTAGGCACGGGGATCGCAGTTCTTCTTACGTGACTGGAAGAGTGAATCGTGAACACCACTCAGAATAGTGGCTGGCTTACCTTAGCTGAAGGGGAACCGCTATTAGAGGCCTTAGTCGATTCAGACTCATGAGCTTTCTTCTACAACAGAGAAAATACTGTCATGTCGGCCCTGTTGGTTACCTTACCCCAACGACCAGGAAAGACCCCTTCTCAGCAGCAGCTGCCGCAGTAAGCTTGGCTGCCTGAGCGACATCGCCCACTTTGTTCTCGACCGGAGTGGGCTCTTCGGGCAGCTTATTGGCGAAACGTGCAACCTGAGGGAGTGGGACATGCTCCGACATCTCGGAGGTTCAGGAGTGTGTTACCTCATCCCAAAGCTCAGAACCCGAGGATCGATGAGATATGTCCAACTGTACTTTCTGAGGGAAGAGAACGACAATCGACTCGTTCCGGTGTCCAGCTAAACCCGGTGAGTAGATCCTACATTGGTACGAGGGGCTTTCTGCTGGATAACAACGCCGTTCTCAGCTTCGACAGGTGGAGGTGCTTCCGGTTCCAAACTCTATAGAGATGAACGATATACCTCTACAATACAAGGAGGAGGACTCACAGCAGAAGCATCGATAGCTTTGATGGCATCATCAGGGTTAATGGGCTTCTCGCTGACCTCCTTGATCGCTTGTATGGATTGCCCGTGCTATACAGAGAACATCACACGAGCCGTGCTATTAATCGAATGGTCTCGTTATTACATCGCAGCCAAGCTCAGCCTTGGCTCTCTTGACGAGGGTCTCATCAGAGGTTCGGAGGTTCTCACGAAGGTCCTCAATCCTAAGGTAGAGATTGGACTGCATTTCAAGAGTAGGACCACCCATCCTACTCTGGCGAGTCGAAGAGGCCCTCTGTTTTCTGCTGTACGGGCAGTTTTCCTGTAACGTATTTACTCTTATCCATTTTCACAGGGAATCTAATCAGATTGATCGAAAGCCGTAACCCACAGAGCCCTATCCTCTACTGTTTTTCGTCCCATTCGGGTTTGTATGAGTGGAACTTCGGCTCGGTTGGTTTCAGCTCACGAGGCTGATTCACCGAGTTGGAGAGGGAGCCGAAGTCACCGCCTTGAGGCTCTAGGACGGGCTTATCCTTGTCCCACTGAGAGCAAAATCTTCCCGCGCTCCACGAAATTGCCTTCTCCCTACTGTAGCGCTTATATCGATGTTCTGGTAATTGGGTTCGTATTCCGTACTCAACGGCTGGTCGGAGCTCAGCTCGACTGGTCTATCGAGCTCTCCGGTAGCAGTCGCCTCCTAAAGAACTACATCTGACCAGGTCCGCCACTTAGTGTCCGGTCTTACCGCTCCTTGTGGGGCCGCAGCAGCAGATCGGAGCCTCATGGCCTGGGATAGGATGGCCAAGGTTCCAACAATGATGATGGTGTTGAGAATCATAGAAGAGATCAATAGTAAG